ATTAATGTTAAATTTGAACTGAGAACCTGGATTGTAACAAAGGGACAAAAGATGAGTCGTAACCACTCATTGCTATGCTCATAATTGACGACTCTATGGAAAAGTACACGATGACTCAACTAATAAATCTATGTATTCAACCATCAAAGTATACATCGATTCACTAACTTAAAACCATATCATCAACTAGAAAGATGTGATCATAAAAATGTTAATGAACTTCAGTTACAATCTTGGAATAAGCTTTTAGCACATCTTTTATTCATAATCTCAACACCTAAATGAATCTCTCGAAGCTTCAATCCCAGTATTAAGAGTTTTCAAATTTTTTGTGACTTGGTTGATTGTAAGTAAAATTTTATTAATTTCAATTTTGAAAAACTGATTTCTGCTTATTCAACTGTAACAATATTGTCAATAATATTTTGTAAGCAATAAATGCATATTACCTTCCTTCCTTGCATTATTACACATTCTAGACATGAATTGAAAAAACATCTGCAACTTAGAATGGCATTTTTTTTTTGGGTCAAATTCATATTTTTAGTATCACTTTCTTAGAATATTTTGGTGAGGTTGAATGCGTAAGGGATTGAAATAATTTTTAAGAAGAATATTGATAATATCTTTTTGGGTTCAATTTGAAGATAAATACGACTATAGTAGAGTTGGAAATCACACATTATGTGTATGGTGCCCCTATAGTTATGCCCTATTTGGTACCACTCGCACTACTTCGGGACCGCAATTAGACTAATCATCCATGTAATAATCAGTATTGGGAAAGTTAAATCTCAGAAAACAATCAAAGAATCGACACTAGTAGTTGTGAAATTGAAGTCCCTATGTGCTTCACAGCAATGGAAGAAACTCTATCAAGCTAGATATTACAAAATAAAAAAGTTCAAACAGATCATTTAAAAAATAATAATAAATCAAATCAAAGGTTTGAATCAAAATTTACAACATGAAAGAAAACACACACACACAGAGTTGACTGAATAACATTGTGTATATTATTTTTAAAATTAATTAACCACTTGTTTTTGCGTGATTTATCCATAAAAGAAAAACAGATAAAATAAACCGCAACTCCCAAAAAAAAAAAAATTCAAAGAATCGTAGAAAAAAAAACACTAAATTTCATGTAATTGAGTCATGTTTCATGTCATCATACATGATAAGTACGTTTTGTGCACTTAATTATGCGACAAAACATGATTAATTGTTGATATAAATGTTTGAATAAGGCTTAATTCAATATGAATTGTGTTTGTAGGTTTACTTTGATGGAAATAATGAAA